ATCATTTAATGTATGTTGAACTAATGCAGAAAATCTCCCGTCCCTTCCCCAACACAAACTCAAGTGCTCTTTGAAAACCAGCTCTAATTGATGAGGGGGCATCACTTGTAAACTCAGCAGGGTCCTTGAGAGAAAGAGAGAGAGAGAGAGAGAGAGAGAGAGAGAGAGAGAGAGAGAGAGTGAGTGTAAATGTGAGCAGTCTGTGATGGTGCAGGGGTGATGAGATGGGGGAGACAAAGGAGGAGGCGGACAGGGAGAGAGAGGAGGAATGAAGATGAGGATCACTCTAAACCCTTTTCCATGTGAGCAACGAGTGGGATGAGAATGTTTGGAGAAAAACAAGCCTAAACATGTCCGAGATCGTGTTTGTCGTTTGAGATGGAGTTGGAAAGATATTTGCAGCAATAATCGACATTTTTCACCCTTTTTAAATTATATATAATATTCACATCTGGCCTGAAGTGCGTATAGTCTCGAGTATCATGGAGTTTCACGGAGTTTCACAGAGTTTCACGTATAAAAGTCGGTCGTCTGCATATAGTCTCTTTCTTTCTTTTCCACTCTGAACATGTGAAGACAGTGGCAGTGGACACTCTGCCGCATGATACAGCCAAGACGAAAATATTTATTATAACTGTGTGAATGAAGCTAATTTAGCTGCGTAGAAAACTTTACTTCAAGTTTAATCTTCCTGATCATAAGATGTTTCCGTGTCTACATCATCTCTGGCAGTCGAGTGGTGAAATGAAGCTTATACATTTTTAAAAAGAATCTCTATTTGTAATAAATCCTCTCTTACATGATCAAATGATGAATGGACAAACAAATACTCAGTAAAATGCATATTTGCTCCTGAAATCCACTAGATCCAGATTCTTATTAGGGTTCTGTGCACTCATAAATATCAGTCCCCTAAATTTGTCTGATTTTTTTCATCAAGAAACATGAATTATTCATTTATAAATCAAGAAAATGTTGAAAAACATCCAAAAGTTAAGTTTAAAGTTTGAATTTGCTTTAAAGAGACGTTTCAGCTCTTATCCAACCGGCTGCTTCACTTAATTAAAAACAGCCTCATACACCAGAAGTCAAGGTGAAGCTGACAAAGGCCGACCATAGGTTTCTCAATCCACACCAGCACATTTACCACCGGAGTGCATCGCCTCCATCATGAATCCGTGCAGGTTCATAATAAAGTGGCTTTCAAGGAAAAACTAGAGGATCACTGAAAACTGCCTCGTTTCATCATCGTCCGATTCCTCCACGTCTCACCAGGACATGAAGGTCAAGTGTTTCCCGTCCTCCTCTACCTGCACAGACGACATTGCCCCATGCAAACAGACAGACGCCCCCGTCCTCTCCCGGTGGAGGTGAGCCAAACGCTGCCGTTACTGTCAGCGCCTCCCTGACAGATGCACGCTGTGAGTCACCGGAGAGGCCTGCTGCTGCCGAGCCGCCGCTGCCGCTGCAAGAGCTGATTCAAGGCTTTGCTGCAAAGACGGATTCTTATTTGGCCGTGACACGTTTACAAATTACGCAGAGATTCATTTCAGCCACTTCTCTCCACGTTATATCTGTATTTAATCACAGCGCTGTTTGTCTTGCCAGAGAAATTCTGTCCGCTCTGCAGTTTGCGTTGTTTTAACATTGCTCTGATGTCAGGTAAACACTGAGGAGGCTTTTGTGAAGGTCCTCTCCTCGCTGGTTGGGAAACTTGCCACCGGCAGAGGACAAACAAATCTGTCATTTCCATTTATTCTCTTCTTTTGTAACATAATGTTCTGAAAGAATCCAGCGCCCGGAAATATAAGTGTCATCTTTCTGTCTCGGGGGGAAAATCTGAAAGGTGTAATGAAAAATCGTCCAGAAACAGGACGTCAGTCTGAAAAAGACACAATATGTTTACGTGTTTAAATATAAAAATAGCAAGTAGCAAAGTGTATTCTTGTTGTCAGCGTGTCGTGGCTTCCTCTCCGTCTCCTGATCTACTGAGAACTTCGGCGAATTCAATCCACCTGACCTCAAACCGCCATTTTTAACTATTCAAGTTGCCATAAACCGTTCATCGTTTAGAGCTGAAAATCCAGGTTTTAATTATCATCCGTAATATTTTAACCATCCAAAGTAGACTCAGCAGAAGCTACAAGACTGAAACGATATTATATCCTCCTGAAGAAACCACAAGTCCGTATGATATCGACCGTGTTTCATTTGCAATGTCAAAGAGAAGAACTACACTACCCACAATCCTCAGTTGTAATAGTGACGTCTCTGACGGGTGGAGCTCGACATTCCCATGGAAATGTTTATCACCATGCTAACCATGTGTATCGGATGGTTCCGTAGAGTCCGGAGAGATGAAGATCACTACAAACACGGTTAAATTCAGGAAGAAGCAGTGGAAGTTGTTGAAAAGGAATTGTTCGCAATGGTTTATGGGATGCGTAGTTCCTTTAACCCTTTAAGTCATTATGTTCACAGTCTTGTACCTTTGCCCTTTTTTCATTTGCTCCAAATCGAATGTTTAAAGTCACGATTCATCTTGTAGCTGGTTCCAGACTCAGGAAAGGATTTTCTGATACGTCAATTGAGAAAATTTACTTCCAGAACCTCTACTGGAACTGACACAACACATTTCTACTCACTGCGGCAACTGTGAATAAAAGACGAGAGAAGAGCGGTGTGAACAAACTGCAACACGTGATGAGTCATGCACGGTAACAGAACTGCCCTCTCAAAGTGATGCTCCACATAAAAGCCATATTTCACTGTGGGATTGAAACAACTGTTTTTGCTCTTTCACAGAAAAACGAGTCTCATAATCCGACTGAATTCACGAAAATGAGTCAACAACACATCAGAAAACACAGGATTAACTTCTGTGTAGCTCTTATTGATAAGGACTGATGCTGATTGGACGATTTGCAGAAGTGGTTTACTGTTTTTCAGAGTTGTCGTCGTGTTTTTGTTAAACCGGCGTCGTGTGAGCTTGATTCGTCATATTTTCGTATTTGCTTTTGTTTTGCCATTGTGTTCTTTAATTTGCTGTTGTCGCACTTTGGGGGATTAGTCAATTTTTAAGAAGCAACGGTCAGCACTGTTGTCAGATGTGGCGAGTTGGCCGTCAGTGTTTTATTTCTTGTTTTGGATTGAGTAACAGTTCGTACACGTTGCCATACATTATTCTTTCGCATAAAAAAACCCTGGACGTCCGACATCGAGGGGAAAAAAAATCCAGCTCAATCAAGTTATTATGACCATCAGACGATAAGGACTCTGAGAATCTGAGTCCAGTCCTGCGACTGCGGATGAGTCAAGCTTTTCTTCCTCCAGACAGAGGAACCACAACAAATGGACAAAAACAGGAACGTCCTCATTGCGACACACGGGATCAGGCACGTTACGAGGAAGTGTTACTTCACGCTCCATAGAGGGTTAACGTTAAATGACACCAAAAAACGTCCCGAGCACTTCCACAGGCTCAAGAAGAAGTGATCTCCTCCTGACCGTGTTTATTTTTTAACCTTTGCTCCATTTCGCAGCTTTGTGTGAAGCGACTAAGCAGCATTACTTCCTCATGGTTATTTGTTGAGCTGTCGTCTTTGGCCAAATCGAAGATCAATCTCTGGTTAATGTTGTCCATTGTTGAAGTGAAATCATGGGGCCATTCGTCGCTTCAGATCGGGGGAGGACACCAACCTCAGGTGCTCCGACAGCAGCGTTTCATCCAGTCAGTTCTCCCCACGACTACGGGTCAACGTTGGGGTAAAAATAAATAACTTGTGGGACAAAGACTGAGAGGGACGTCCTAGATGGAGCTCTCGTCAGGCTCCAGGTCCAGTTGTGTGTGTTTCCTCTGCTCCAGGATCCTGTTGAGCTCCTCTGTGAAGGAGTGGTAGAGCGGCGACATGCCCTCGTGGTCGGCCTGCCGCAGCAGCACATAGCTGTTCCCGTTCATCTTCCTCAGCACGCTGGGCAGAGTGGCCGACAGACCGTTGGCGTAGTCCATGTTGGGAAGTGGAGGTGGCATCGGAAGAGGAGGAGCCGGAGGAGGCGTTTTTGTCGGAGACATGTGGCCCTGACCTGGAACTATCTGGAGGAAACCATCGCCGATGTCCGCAAAGTTTGGCATCGAGATGGACTGACGCGCCTGGCGGCCGTTGCAGTGGCTGGAAATGGTTTTAAGTTCAAAATGGGAGCTCCTTTTTCTCTCGGAGGCGCCCAGGACCTGCAGCTCTTGCTCGGAAAACTTTCGGCCCCTGGAGGCCCGTCTGGTGCAGAAGCTCACATAGAGCAGCACCACGCTCAACACCAGGCAAAGCCCTCCGAGCACCGCCACCAGGGAAATGTACACGGCCTCCATGTGTCTGTAGGTCTGGAACGCAGGTCCTGGAGGCAGCGGGGCGGGAGGCGAGGGCAGGGGCTGCTCGGTGGGGCCGCTGGCGGAGAAAACTGTTGGGCTGGAGACTGTGGTGGGGTTGGTGGTGGCTGTGGGCTCCACGGGGTAGTACAGGTCTGTGTGCACCTGGACTGTGTAAAGATAAACCAGCACTGAGACCGAGTTCTCCACGGCAAAGCAGCGATAGGAGCCGCTCTGCTGGGCACGAGCGCCGATTATGAGGAGGCCGTCTGTGCCGATGCGGTAGCCCGAATTCAGGTCGTACCCCTGGAGATCTCTGCCATTCAGAGTCCAGCGTGGCGCCGCCAGGTTGGAGCGTAATTCACACTGTAGTAGCACGTCGTCACCCGACATCACAGAACGCCGCCGATGGACCACTGAGCGACAGAAACAGAGCACAGGCAAAAAGAGATTAGACGGAGCAGAGGCGGCAGGATGACAGAAATGCAGCGGGACAGACAGATGGATTGAGCAAGACGTCGGGTCGCAAAGGTTCCGATTTCAAAGTGCAGGTGAGCAACCTGTGCGGCTCAACCCACCACCATCGCTTTCCATTCCATTTCATAAGCCTCTTTAAACGTGGCGAGCCCTGCAATGCAGCCGGCACGACCGCCTGACCTCCAGCAGCAGAGGAACTGATTAGAATGTGAGCGCTGGGACCTGGGGGATGGGGAGGGAACGCACACCCAGTGGAATCTCTTAATAGCTGCTAAGTGCTGGAGTTTTCAGGAAGAGAAAAGAGAGGTGTGTGCTGGACGTCTTTCACCCCATAATCTGTGTGAGTGTGTGTGTGTGTGTGTGGGAGAGAGAGAGACACACGAAGAGGGAGGCAGGCAAACCCACCAAGGACACTGAGCGGCAGGTGAGAATAAAGAATTAAAAGCAGATTGTATGAAAAGCGGCGTGTGCGTGTTGTAACATACCGTTTCCTAAATTCTCTCTGCAGCCTCTGATCCCCCGCAGAATATCCTGAGTTATGTTTGACCTGAAATAAGATGATTTAAAAAAAAAAATCAGTCACTCTTCTAGAAAAATGAGTATTTAAACATCATTTCACCAGAAACACAGACAAGACGCGTGTTCATGCGACGCAGCAACATGAGACAGAAGCTGCTGAATTCAAGGTTCACAAAGCTGCGTGGTGTTGTTTTAAAAATACAACATTTCTTTTATCGAGATTTCCTGGTGAAAGCCACCTTGACTGCACCTTCACACGACCCCAGAGCTGTCAGAAACCATGAGACCATGTGAAAACCATCACTTAATGAGGCCAACGCAGCCAGATTACACAATCCTCCAGCGCATCTACACTCAGAGGAAAAGAAACACAAAGTTTCTGCGGCGGCAATCATTTTCACAGGGAATGACCACATCTTGCAGTTTTAGATCCACTGTGCCTGCAGGAGGTTCCAGGCAGAGGGAAGAGTATATTAAAAAGTGGTTTTCTTAACCCAGTGCAGTGCAGAATAATTTACTCTCTCTCCATATTTCTCCAGACTGATAACAAAAAATAATGTCACTGTTTTAGAATCAAGTGGCCATTTGTATATATGCACTCTACAAACCAGGATAACAGAAGGTTTCTCATTAACGTTCTCCGACTGTGCTGCTGCCTCAGACGCTCCAAAACAAATCCACAGGAGAGGCCGATCTGTCCGCTGCGGTAATGGAGATTAAGATGTCTGCTGCTCATTCATGCAGAGTGAATGAAGAGGGGCATAAACAGCCCCCAGTGCAAGACGGAGCCAACGTGTGTGAGTGTGAGGGAGACGGAGTATTTGTTTGGTAAGATGAATGAATCCCAACACTTCCAGCGTCCTCAGGTCAAACAGGACACGACGAAAAACACTTTACAAGATGCAAAGTCTAAGAATTAACATTTTAATCGAATTGTTTTTTCCAGTGGTTTTAATTTGACAGGATTCAGGTTCTATCCAGTGGAGGAAGAACTCAAACATTTTATTTTAGTAAAACTACACATAAATTGAGAAATTAACTTTTCTACTTGACTAAAAGTAAGTAATACATTATTTATCTAGACTCAGAACTTTAATTTCCATAAAGTACACGATTAATTATACACCTGCCTGTACACAGACGTCACAAGTGTAAAGTTGTAAACTTGTTTCGGGGAAATAACTTAGAAATGATGGTCGGCTAATGTACTTAAATTATAAATTAACTGTAAATTAGGAAACAGTTTAAAGCTCTTATACTTAAAGTGTTAACTCAGTTTAATTTCTATGATTGAAGATATGAAACAAGTCAGAATGAGCTTCTGTAATTTTTTTGTGGGTTACTCATTTGAAATTCAAACCGTCCCACTCCAGATGAAGCTCCCGCTGAGCTGCGAGGAGCTGATGAGACAAATTGAGGTCGACTACATTGTCTCAGACCTGCTTTCATAAAGAGTCGGAAGCGAAAGTAAAGTGTATGAATAATTAATAAGACTCCAGGATTTCTTTTGGGCCCCGAAGGAAGAAGTAAACATGGACTAAAAAGGTTGGGTTATGCAAAAATGAACACTGTCAAAATTATTCATCTCTGTTTGGAGGTTGTTTATTTTGAAAGAGGCTGATTATAATTACAATAATAATAATAACTGAGCTAAACATTAGCAACACCATTTTATAGGTAACAGGTAATGTGACCTTTGACCTTTAACAATCTCTCTAACTCAAGTATAATTGCATTTATAACACAGTTTGTGTGTTTGCTTCGTTACTGGAGAATGTGCACGTTGGTGTCCACCTCACCTCTGTGCACGTGAAGATATTTCTACGCACGCCCTCCCGTCCCAGCCGCAGAACGGGTCTCTGGCGAACACGCAGTCATAACAGGAAGTGTATCTCCCACAGGCTGACATCGGTACCTGCACGACTCCAGAGTGTGAGCCCACGTAGATGCTCCGCTGCGTAACAAAGAAAATAACATTTACAACAGGTAAAATACATTTATACCTAATAACCTAAAACAGCTTGATCTACTATGATATCGGCCATTGAAACCCTTGTTAGTTTAGCGTACGTGAAAACATACCTGAGCTGTGGATATGACCAAGCTCTCTACGGGCTGAGGTTTGTCAAACAGTTGCAGCTCTTCTATGATGTGCACATCTCCGTTGATGTCCACAGCTCTGTGCAGCCAGCCGTCATCTGCAGGAGAAGACACAACCTCGTCAAACAACACACTGGGATCAAACAACAAACACTCAGATAGGATCAATTCATTCACTGGTTTTTGAGGTGTTGGACTCACCAGTTCCCAAAAACAGGACGGTATAAATGCTTCCATCCAGTGCCGGCTCCCTGTGCACGACTATCTTGACATAGTTGACGCTCCTCTTGAACAAGAGGGGGCGCACTCCCACTGGGTGCACCTGGCCGGCCATGAGTGGATGCCTTCTGGCGAAGGTGAGGACATTGTCTGGGAGATCACGAGACGAGTTGATGCCCTGGGACCGGTGCACATCTGTCATACACTGAGAAAAAAGGAGAAAGACAGAAATGATCCGTGTTCTTCGTTTGAACAGGGGAAAGAGAGGAGAGGTTTAACTTTACACTCACAGATCCAGGTCTCGGCTCGGGCACCTTCCCCGTGTACTCCCTCCACTTTGAGTCCTGCACCTCCATGTACGGCCCCTCGAAAACCTTGTGCACTTCTGAGAAGGCGTACTGGCAGATCGCAGAGGCCTTGATATTCTTCCTGAAAGACAATACCCCACCCGGAGGACACGCTCAGGATTAACGATTCAAAGATGAATAAACACTGAGGTTATTGTCTGAGGAGCAACAGCCACCGGGATCGAATTTCAAACAGATCGTCAGTGACCACTGACGCTGAGAGGCCTCTGAACACTGCGGGTGTTGAGGTTTTGTTTTTCACAATCACATTTTGCTCTTGGATTTGATCATTTGTCTGTCTTGTATGGACACGTCAGAGTGGAGGTGTGTAATTCTCCCTCTTTATCTCCAGTGGCTCTTCCCATCATCCTCTCCAGAGGGACGTATTTGTTCGGCAGACTTCTCTCAGAGCTGAAATAACCCCTCCACTCCCCGTGAGTCAGAAATGAAACTGCCCCATTTTCGTGGTTTTTTCGTGGAGCAAAGATTCGTCTGTCAACATAACAGCAGCATGAGTCGCGAGTCGGCAGCCAGGTGACCCTTAATCTTATGCCTTGAAGGTAAGATTAGTAATGAGGGGGAAATGTGTGCGTCACATTCTTATGTCCATTGTGAGCCCACCTCAGCCTTCAAAGGCATTCAAGTGAGGAAAGTGAGGTCGATGTGAAACCAGAATCTGTCTTTAAATCTGGGGAGCGGTGTCGCCCGGGGGGTTTACTCATTCATGCACACCCACACTAATGCACGGTGATGACTGGCACTCACACAGGTGTGTGTTTTTAAAAGGGAATCCAACGTATAGAAAGACAAGATGAGGCGGAGGGAGAGAGAGAGAGAGAGAGAGAAAGTGGAAGAAAGAAACATGAGGTTGGAGACACGGCTGCTGCAGTGAACAGGAGCATCGAATATCGAAGAAATGAGAAAAAAACAAGAAGAAACAGAGTGTTATGGCCTCGTTGCTGCGGAGACGGCTACATCAGAATCTAAACACCCTTGGGACAGTTTTATGCAGCATGACTCTGCACATCAGCATAAACACACACTCTCATCGCAGCCGTCGTCCTCCTCCGACTGCAGCTCGGCTCACTCAATAACAACTCACCTAGAATTTGAAGTAATGATTTTAATTCACTATTAATCTTTTTATTGCTTGTGCACAACGAGCACTGAGAGCTTAAAGGTTCAGGTCTGCATGTTGGGCTCGGGCCCGGACACAAAAAACAGAACTCCATACAGGTTCAGCAACCAGAGACGTCTCGACTTCATCGCTCTATAAAATCAGAATTTAATGTTGTGTCTTACCACTCAAGGCCAAAGACGCCATAGAAAATGCTGCTCTGAGCGTCCCGACCCTGCAGCACAAACACACTGCGCAGGATATTGAGGTGCAGCTCGTATTCCGGGACCGAACAAACCATTCTGGCCTTGAGGAACGAGGTCCACTTCCTCTGTAGGGTCCGCTGGCCCCCCCAGTCAGTCTGCAGACACAGGAAACAGCGGAGGGAAGAAATCAATGGATGCCAAGATCAAGTCACTCGCTTGAGATGATATATTCTGGCATTTACACTTTCCAACCACACAGATTCCGCCCACTCGTTCATCATATATACGTCAATAGCAAGTAATCTGATTGTAATAAAAAGTGACACACATACGTCTACACACCGATAGAGTCAAATCATGATTTACTCCTAATTATACTCAGAGGAGGTAGAGAGAAAGGTAGAGAGAAAGGTTGAGTCTTATGTAAGTGGAGCTGAAACTTCTAACTCCGACTCTTGCACATTTGCTCTAATTGCATTTCTGTAGCCATGGGAGGCGAAGCTGCAGGAAATCTCTCTCTAAAAGAGTAATTTAGCACACCTCGTTTTAAAGTGAGGGAATTATAGAGCGTCCTCTGTCTTTGTTTACGTCTTCCGCAGAGATCTGTCGTTCATCAAATCGCTCTGCCTGCCTCGGCCTCCCACACAAAAAGACAAAGCAGCTTAAAATCGTCATTACACAGAAGTATCTAAAACTAAAATGTCGGCGTCAGGAGCACTTCCATCGAAAATACCAACTGAATTAGCAGAATGAGAGAGAAACAAAGGGAAGGAAGGGACTGCAGACGAATGCATCAACTTTCACAGAACACAGTCTCCAGAGAGCCGGCCGTGAGATGGATGCTACAGAGAGAACATCAGAAAAGATTCCTACGGTTCCAGGTTATTATTGTGGAAAGAGCTGAAGGGATCTGATGGATCACAATCTACGTCAATCACAGCCGGGTCATCGGGTGATCGTACAGATCTGTAGATAAATTATCCCTGGAGGAGGAGATGGTTGTTTAACGTGATGCTGGTTTTTGAAGTTATAATATAGAAAATAATAAATTGGCTCTTTTTTCTGTGTTCATTGACAAACGGAACTAAATATAAAACGTCTAAAATGGCACAGACTTCTGTCTGTGTCACTGAAAAACACTCTGTGAAAATAGGTTGCGATGGCAGAGAAAGTCGGAGACGAGCAGAGAAGAGGGGGAGGACGACTAGTTAGGCAGCTCAAAAATGGCACGTCGTCAGTGGTTTCCAGAGGCGACTGCCAGGGGGCGTCACCGTGGGCAGATCTGCCTCCAACCAGCCTGGAGTCTGGCTGCAAACGAGGGCTGAGCCGGAGAGCAGCTCGACATCTGCATGCGACGCTGTGGCCTAATTCAGACTGAGTTATTAGACTCTCCAGTGCCCCGACAACTCCACAGAGCTGATGAAGAGAGGAGGCCAGACCTTATTTCCAGAAACGACTTCTTTTAGATACGGGGACTATAACTTGAACATGACGCGTTGGGTGGATGTGATTTTAAAGTTCAACAAATTCATTAATTATCTCGTTGCCTGCAGCTGTTTTTTACCCTTTGTGGTGAAAAAAAAGGGCATCGTGGAACATGGCTGCACGAAGGGAATGTTTATGATTATATAAAGATAACAGATCTTAGTAGGAGGGATTCTCCAGATGATTCATTCTTGAAGCTGATTAGTCGCTGTGACACAGAAGGGGCGTGTTAAGCTACGCTCCGTCTACCTGCCGAGAACTGAATGCTAACGTGAAGGTGCACAGTGTAAGTGGTATCTACAGCGTTTGTGCTGAGTATTGCCTGTCTGCTGAGGATGGTAAAAAGTTTATCAATGTTTTAATGTGCTGCCAACTTGGGCAGGATTCCTGCAAAAAATTGTATTTCACACATATATATATATATATCGTGCAGAATTATTCCCTCAGTGTGTCAGATTAAAGTTACAGAAACAAACTAGAAACCACTTCCGAGCAGGTTTTAAGATGATGACCCTCAATTTGTTGCACAAGACAAACGAGCTACTTGCAGAAAACCCTCTGAGTTACGCACCGTGTTACATAATTGCGATGTCATGTCCGAACAAGCGCCGTTGTCACTTTTACGACTCACTTTACGTTAAAGTCACAGCTGCAATTACAAGGTCAGAGTGTAATTTATATTTCATTTTAATCAAGTCTGAACTGGATGGAGTCAGATTGAGGTGAAGCTGCAGGAGAAACATGCAGAGTCTGAACTTCTTCCACTCATACAAGAATCCAAACACCGAGAATGAATTGATTAGAGTTCTTGTAGAAAACTCAAATTGGTATTGACGAATAAATCAATGTCTAGCAGAACATGTCTCTGTGCGATAAATAGGAATATATAATATCGATAGATGAAGCCGGAGATGTTATATATATTCCTATCTCGTAAAAGGGGCTATAAATTGCAGTGGAACAGCTCCAGGAGAAGCTTGGATACAAGAAATTAAATCATAAATCTGTGGAATTATCATCTCCAGCTGGTCTGAAACAGAAAAACACAGCCAGTTACCTGCCAGAATCATTGTCCACCGGTCCTGGCAGCGTAACTCACTCTGATTGGCCGTTAACGCCAACATCCGATCAAATCTCGTTTCCTGCGAGTTCCTTTCACAATCTCACAAAAGGTGTTTAATGTGAAATCTTTATTTCTGAACATAAAAAAAACTGAGAGAGTAGTTTCAGCACAGCAGCAAACTGTGATCTGACGTAATTACACCGGCATGAGAAAGATAAAAGAAACGGCAGGGAGCA